ATTTGAAAAGAAATATAAAAGGCAATAGGGCATTTAAAAATACATAGCTGAACATGGACAAACATTTCAGGTGATTTCTTTCTGTCTTTGTTTTTTACACATCAGCAACATAAGCAAAATGTTTCATAGGTCTGCATCTCTTCTCGTCTATACCCACGAAGGACAGAAGCTCTTATCAAATAAAATCATATAGATAAAAGTGCATTGTGAACTTTAAAGAACCATAAAAGTGTAGGAGAGTGTATTTCCATCAGCCTGGTGTGTCCTTAGAGAGCAGAACACATAGACACACTGGGGGCCTTGATTTTATTAAATAACTCAGGAAAGTGAACTTCATTGACCACCCACGATCTTTAAAAGCCTTGAAAAGATGGTACTTGTCATGGGGAGCCATCACTGGCCGGACATTCTAAAGTCTCACCTGTAGGCTCTTAGCTGCTTATTCAGAAATGTTTCTTTTTTCTTATCCTCTCCATAAATATCTCAGATCTGTCTTTGCTTGACCATTGTGCAGTTGAACCCCGTGAGTCCCTGAGTATATGTGTTTGTGCTTTCAAAGCTTCCTCCCTGCCCACCCACCAAGCCGCACCCATCTTGCACCTTTGCATTCCCTGTTTTAACCACGCCTTGCCACCAGACAGCAGAGTACCATCATTATATCCTGGGGCCTTTCTCTGCCCCAGTTTTCTTGATGAAGATGACTGGTCTCCCTTACATCAAATAGTTCTCATTAAGAAGTGACTGAAAAATCCTTTTTTCAAACAGACTTCCTGGTATAAAGATTTGGACCACAGATCAGTTCTGGCTGGCCTCAGAACCCAAAACTGGATTTACATGTTAATCCTGACGTCAAGTCATATATACTGCAAACAGGTTTTTTGCATTTGACAGTGAATGAATAATTACTTGCCAAAGTTAGTCTCCATTAAGTGTTGCAAGGAGTTCATTAAATGACTTCAATAATGAGGTCCATATAAAATGCTGTTATTAGAAATACTTTTATTATCCCAGGATTTAGAGGTAAGGGGATTTTGACTTTGACTCTTTTCTCAACAGTAGAAACAAAGCCTGCTGTTTTTCACACATGTCAGAGTAAGAGCTTCTTTCTTTTGGAATGTAAAGCAAAATCTTTACCACCAATATCCTTACCTGGCCTATAAGACCAGCTGATATTTATCTTACCAGCTTCTTTCATTGCTTTTTCTGACCCTAGCCACCCTGGCCTTCCTTCCTCTCTTTGAACGTGCTCTAATCCTTCCTTACTGAAGATTTTGGCAGGATGTTTCTCAGATGGATCCCCCCCCCACCCCCGCAATCAGTCTTTATTTATAGCAGAGCTCAGACACCGTTGTTTGAAAGAAGCTTGAAAGGATCGGCTGCTTCCTTCATATGCTCACCTGGTGGCCTTCATAGAACTGGTAACCAAATAAGCACACGAGTGGTTAATGGGATAACAGGATTCTCCTCCTGGAATGTCAACCCCATGAGGGCCGAACCTACGGATGCCTTCCTCACACTTGTAACTGCAGTAGCCGCCATCATGTTCGCACACAGTTGGCTTTCAATAAACCAGGTTACGATATGGCTGAAGGAGTGACTTCCTTAACGAGAGTGAGGATGATGAAGACAAATCACTTTTAGGGTGACACTGGATCTTCTGATAATATTCCGAAAGTGTTGACACAGCTCGTAAAAACTCAATGTACAATTTTCAATTTGACATCTGTGTAACAATTTCCACTTCAATTCCTCTAGTGGTTAACTGATTTTGAATTCCAGGATTAAAGAGGTAAAATGGGGGCACCTGGGTGGCTCCGTCGTTAAGCGTCTGCCTTCGGCTCAGATCATGGTGCCGGGGTCCTGGGATCGAGCCCCAAATCGGGCTTCCTGCTCGGTAGGAAGCCTGCTTCTCCCTCTCCCACTCCCCCTGCTAGTGTTCCTTCTCTCGCTGTGTCTCTGTCAAATAAATAAAATCTTTAAAAAAAAAAAAATAGAGGTAAAATGTAAGACTGTCAGAAATTTAGAAATACAGAAAAATAAAACCAGTCAATCACTGAAGTAGTAATTAGTGAAAGTTTATTGTGCACACACCAAAAAGGCAGTCTGCAAACCCAAAGCAACCAAATCAAAAGATGGAAGGCAGCTCAGGGGTATATTGTTACGGAGTAGCAGGGACGATTTATTCTTCCCAGTGACTGGTTACATTAGAATTTTCTTAAATGAAAAGGAATTGGTCAGTGGTTACCTCAAATCCATCCTGGGAAACAGTTTAGGTTTTGCTTATGGTTTTCAGACGCATAAGCAAGAAATGACCCAGTTAGTCTTGCAAAACAAGCCAAATTAGTGTTTGTTTGTATGACTAAACTGATTTTGTCTGCTCAGGGAATTTTCAAGGCTGGTCTCCGTTTGTTTTTTACCAAGGACAAAATCATGACTCTTTATTAACAATTCATTAATTTTTCTTCTCTGTTGCATCAGATAGATTATACAATTAGGGGACTTTTCAATGAAGCTAAAGTTTGCCTTGCATAATAAATTCCTTAGTGAAAATAAAATTCAATCATCAGACACATTCAGAAGCATTGAACTAAATCTCTATGGAAATGGGATTTTCTCTGGGCAAAATATTTATACATGACATGCATATGTTAACTGTGACTCACATATGAATGCAGTGAACTTACACTAAGCCTGAGAGAACACAGATGAAGGAACGAAAATGCTTTCTCCAGAATTTCTGGGTGGGAGGGAAGGGATCAATCACATGCTTGGTTTTCATGTTATATATGTTGGTTTGACTTTATGAGCCTTTAAATTTGATGGACAGAAAGAGTAACACATAGAGAAACACATAATAAGCCCCTCTCACAACAGGAGTAATAGCAGCAAAAGAAAAGAATTCCATCAATTCTCTGTTCTAAGGTAAAAAAATGAGAGTATATAAAACTAGGCTTGTGATTGGGTTTTAACAATCTCTGGGCTCACAAATTATGTATTGGTTCAGTTTGCATTTCCATGTCCTCTGTCTTCTAACCCTTTTTTTGCTTATTGCCAAGGAGAGTGTAGAAATGATATTCTCTCAAGTATCTTTTTCTTCACTTGAAATTTTAAAGAGGTAAGAATATAATCCATCAAAATGACTCCAGACTGTAAACCTAATTTTTATCAGGCTTGCCTTTACTATTTGAGCTTTTAAGTCTATGGATTTGTGCTCTTTATTATATGTAACATAAGGCAAATGCTTCCAGCATTTAGGGCAATAGGTGAGATAAAAACAATGTATTCTAATCTACACAAATAACATCGGGCGGGCTAATTAAGGAGGACAGTTCTAGAAGGAAAACCTTTGAAACACAAATGAAAAACTGATCTTGTTAAGAATTCAGGCCTGGGGGCACTTGGGTGGCTCAGTCCTTAAGCATCTGCCCTCGGCTCAGGTCATGGTCCCAGGGTCCTGGGATCGAGCCCCACATCGGGCTCCCTGCTCGGCGGGAAGCCTGCTTCTCCCTCTCCCACTCCCCCTGCTTGTCTTCCTGCTCTCACTGTGTCTCTCTCTGTCAAATAAAATTAAAAAAAAAAAAATCTTAAAAAAGAATTCAGGCCTGAACGATAAAACTTAGGTTGTTTTACATAATTAGTTCTTTTCTTAAGTTAGCTAAGAATGTTTTGAGAGCTATACCTCTATGCCTTGAGCTCCTTACGATTAACTGAAGACCCATACTAAGTAACTAATGTGGAAGGAATCCCAATTTTGAGCACTGGAAAATGCCAAACTTTAAACCCACTTGTGTGCTTATATAGCCAGAATGGATCATTAGTCACCATAAAATATTATTGGTGATGTGACTGCCATTATGATTTCCCTTTCCCATCCCAACAAACACTGGCAGGAGGCTAACTTTTGTCTAAGGATTGGATTGGCCACTTACAGTTAAAAATGGTGCGTTTTTCCTAATCTCCATCCATAGAAAAGTTAGGGGGGAAAAATGAAAGGTAGATTTTTAAAAAATCCATTTCGGATGAAATTAAAACAAATGAGCAAACAAAACACCTTGCCACAATTTCAATCCCTAAACTTTAAAGTGTGGCTGTCAAACACTATTTGTCTGGACTGATATCAGGAAACAAACTGATAGCCGACACATGACTCTTCAGAAGTCAAATAGGATACAGATTTCTCCAAAACTATCTCGAAAGAAATGTTTAAGCATACATTGACTACAGCAATGAGACACATGAGCATGGACTGGGTACTGGGAGATAAAAGAATGTTTTGATAGAGAACTGGTTCATATTGTGAAATGGAGCGAAATCGAATTCGTAGGACATCAATTCCTACCCTGTAGCCCCTCAAGTGAAGAATGCCAGAAGCGAGTTGGGTGAAAGAAATTGTGAGGAGACAAAAATATTTCATCTTAGTCAGAGTTTTATTAAAAAAGAGCTTGGAAATTTCAGACAGTATAGTGCAAAAATAAACAATTATTTTTCATCAGATAATGCTGGCTCTAACAAATCAGCAGTTTTTTTTTATTATACAAACATGGCAAAAAAAATGTGAAAATAAAACACCTGCACTCAGGAAAGCATGGCAATATTAACATCATTACAACCACGAGTTCTCCATACACGATTCTACCTATCAGTGAAGGTTTATTATTGTCACTCCCACCTAAGATTCACTGATGTGCAGTACATGCCAGGTTCATGCACTGTCTTTGATAACAGGTGCTTTTGATATCAATAACTATGTTACAGAGTAAAGCACCCGTTTCACACCTATTTCTCCTTTCTCGTTGGGAGTCAATTCTTCCTCCTTGTGGGACACCCACTGGAGAAGTGAGTGAAGGCTGGTGGTTAGCGGTTCCTGACTGGCTGGAGCACACAGTTGACCTGCCCAGTGGTGCTCAGCCCCGCCATCTGTGTAATTTGACCCTTGCCCTTGAAGGAATGTCCCCTATTTCCTTAAAGGGGTAAGTATCAGTGCGATTTCAAAGGATAAAGTAGGTACACAATTTTATTCAATACTTTATATTATGCTACAAATATGTACAACTTCAATAATAAATTAAGACTAAGTGAACAAAATAAGTATGAGGACAGTTCATAGACACCATGTTACTCAATGCCATTTTTCTGCCTTCATTTCCAAGAGTTCATCCGATCCAAAATTCCGGATCTTCCTCTTGTTAGAAAAATTGGTTTGGGCAGCCCATGTGAACTGCAGAGAGTTTCATTGCCCTTAAGCCGTGGGAAGATGTTTGTTAATAGCAGAAATGCTGAAGAGGATCAATTATAATCAAGAAGAGTTGATGAACATTTGTACAATATGTACAAAACTCCGAAAAAATTCTTTAATATTTTTCTCCTCCAGTTCCTCACATTCTTTGCATCCCGTTTCAGTTACATTCTGCCAAATAAAAAGAAAGGATTAGATTGGAAAGTCTACTGTATCTCTTTCCTGGGAATATCGCATCATTTGAACCATATGGGGAGGTCTTAAGACGTGAAAACTTTGGCAAATTAATATCATAGTAGGAAGAACCACTGGAAAAGAGAACTGGGAGATTTGATTTAGGCTTATTTTTCCTATAATAGGTTAAAGACATTGGAAAAATAAGCCACGTCTATCAGATCATGGACTTCCTGCTTAGCGCCCTTGAGTGGTCATTTACCCTTCTGGTCGTCTACCCTAGCATCAAGTCTATGCCTCCCCGCATGGCACACAGGGGCCTTGAAGTGATCCTCACCTGTTTCTTTCACCTGTCCCCACCACCTCACCTTAAGGACATAGCCTAAGTTCACTGAGCTCATGCCTTCAGCCCCATGCACACATCATGCTATTAGCTACCCTGCCGTGTTGACTTTTCTCTCTGCAGGTTGCTCATTGCCGTTGTAGCTACCACTACTCAGGTTAAGATCACTCAGGTGCTATCTCCACCGGGAAGGCATTCCTGAACAGAGGAGTTCCTCTAAATGTTCCATCTCTACATTCTCAGACCTCCCTCCTATCACATCATATATTATATTGATATTAGGGAGTTTCATGCTTTTTATGCTACTATTCTCTAGGCTTTTCTAAGAGTGCAAAGCCACACATTTTTGTTTCCCTAGCATTTAGCACAGGGCCTAGCACATGGGACTCACTGTCGTTACCGGTTGAATTGAACTATTTAGGTGAAGACCACAAGTTGTAATTCAAACACCATTTCATGGATAACTAGAATTTTCCAAATGTAGTCATCACCAATAAACTATTTAAGAGATCATCTGAACCATGAAAGCCGTACCAGCAAAAATCAAAATTAGATTTTACATCCATTAAGCATTTGAAATTCACATTCACCAACATTTATCAAGCACATCCTCTATGCCAGGCACTGTCATATTCCATATAGAACTGTCCTCCTTGAAAATAATCATGTCAACCAGCAAGGCAGAGATATTACATGAAATTCTCTGACTGTGCAGCCTGCCTGCTGAACACACCACATCACGGTCACAGTGACTGTGACCATGGGCATCAAGAGTTCACCAGGGATGTTGTTAGGAGTCATCTGTTGCCTGGCTCAGCCTTTCTACCAATAACATATAAATAACATATCACAACAGTATTTTAAACAGCAGTATGTTCATTTCATAAATACATTGTCTAGAATATGCCAGGCAATGTTTGGGGAGTTGGGATACAGCGCTGAAGAAAACACACACACACACACACACACACACAAACTGCCCCTTTGAAACTGGCATTTGAGTAGGGAAAAGCAGACAAAAGCCATTCAGGAAAACAGCTAGTGGGGCATGCAGACAAGAGGACAGGGCATGGGAACAGATTGCAATGTGAAGAGCTGACATCACTGAGAAGGTGACATTTCAGCAAAGACCGAAAGCAACCTGGCATTTTCGGGGCAAGTCCACGGCACCCAGCCATCCTAGCTCAGGGGCTCTGCACTTTCGGTCGCCTCTGCCTCAACATCCTTCCCCGGAGACAAGGCTCATTCCCTCTTGTCCTGGCCAAATGTCAGCTTAGTAGGTGAACGTCTAAAGTGGAATCCCAGCTCTCTTACCTACCTTCTTTTGGGCCACTGGAATTAATAAATAACTGAGTTATTATTACTCATTTCCTTCTGATTGCTTTATTTATGCTTTACTTTATGATTTAAGCCCCTTGAGAGCAGAGACCAGGTGTGTTTTTTCACGTCTGTTATCTCGAGGGCCTACAATGAGGCTCACAAAGTGTGTGTTAAATTAATGAGTTATTCTTATGCCTTCTCTGTTCATAAAACTTCTTGCTCTCCACTCTACTTTGGCCACTGGTGTTGTGCGGGGAAGGCTATCACACTGTTTACTTGAGGGCCTCCGAGCAGCTCATCCCCACGGCCGCTTCGGGCGCTCCTTGCATTTGTCCCCCCGCAACCATACCGCTCGTGGTGCCTGGCATGGCCCAAATTCTACTTGAATTATTAAGATGTTTATTATTAGCTTTTTGCAGCATTTGTCCTGCCAGGGGATAAGAAGAAGACATCCCCCGAAGTGAAACTGCTTGGGTATGAATCCTGGCTCCCCATTCTACCAGCTGTACAAATTGGAGGAAGTGATTTCGAGCCCTTAGTGCTCCAATTTCTTCAGCCTTAAAACAGACACAAGGATAACTATGTCACAGATTGACTGTGAGGACGCGAGGGATTGCCACGTCACCGCTGAGGAACACTGTTGTTTGGCGTAGAAGAATAATCGAACAAATGTGAATTGCTATTCCTGATGCTGAACACTTAACTATGTCATTAGATTCATGGCTCTGCACTGATCCTGGGGACAAACACCTTGAGGGCAATGACCTCCCTGGTTCACCACTATAACTCTCACACCAAAGTGCACCGCCTGGCGTCACGCAGTGCACGTTTGTTGAATGAATAAATTGATAAAACAGTTTAGAGTTGTGCGCACCCTAGTGGTGCGGCCACTCCGCAGACATGAACGCCCTCTCTCGAGAGCTGCTTGTTCCTTATATCCAGCTAATGCCTTCTCCCACCCAAGCCGAAAGCATCAGACAAAGCTCCGTCTGACTATCGGAAAACTCACCCCATTAGAAGATAAACCATCATTTGCTAGGATGATAAGGTTCTCTACTGTTTCATTAAGGAGATGATGTTTGGACTCAAGCAAAATAACACGTAACTCCAGGAGAAAGCACTTCATCGCTGTTACTTTGCAACTGGGCTAAAAATAAGAGTTACAGAGAATCATTTTGGGGAAAAAAAATGACCTTTCCATTATGCACGTTTACACAGATGTAATTTTGATTTTTTAAAAAGTCAATCCAAATATTTTATAAAGAAACACAATACCCCCAAGAAATTTTACATAGGAGACAGCTTTTTTTTTTTTCTTTTTTGGCTTTGAAATCAAAACCCAAACAAACTGACAACGAAACAATCTAAGAGGATGGTAATATTATACAGAAGAGTGAACATAAATCTAGAAAACATGGAAATAATAGGCCACTTTTTCTCACTGAGAACATTTCCTCTTTGTAAAAGGGTGCTAATACCAGCCTGAGACTCTCTCAAAACATTAGTATGGATAGTGCACTGAAAGAATTTTTAGAATCAGATTGTGTTGTTAACATCTTAAACAGTGATAGCTGCTGATCGTGCTATTTCTGCAAGTTCCAAAGTTCCAGAGGCAGGAGTGATTCTAAGAGATGTATTAAAAAAATCACGGTGCCTGGGTGGCTCAGTCGTTAAGTGTCTGCCTTCGGCTCAGGTCATGATCCCAGGGTCCTGGGATCGAGCCCCGCATTGGGCTCCCTGTTCCGCGGGAAGCTGCTTCTCTCTCTCCCACTCCCCCTGCTCGTGTACCCTCTCTGGCTGTCTGTCAAATAAACCAATAAAATCTAAAAAAAAAGAAAAGAAAAATCAACGTATGAGTATTGCCCACTCAAGGGCTGGCCAAACCAGAAAGGGACCTTTCAGATACCGCAGAAGTATGTTTCCCACAACGGTTTCTTGAACAAAAGCCTAAACTTAAAAGAAGCATTGATGAATATCTGGAGGTTTGACCACAACTTGTTGACTTTCTGTTCTCATTGCCTTGCACAGGGCCTGGGACCCAGCCGGCACTCCACAAATGCTTACTGTGGACGAAGGAAGGAAGGAACCCACCCATGTGTCTGGCACTGGCAATATACCCATGTCCCACAGCAGCTGCTCAGGATTGAAGGGTAAATACTGTCCCCACATAGATAGATAGATAGATGATAGATAGATAGATAGATAGATAGATAGATAGAGAAAATAATAAATAAGTAAAACAGGGTCAGACATGCTTAGTGACTTCTAAGGTAACACAGCTAGGTAGGGGCTGAATCAGAGTTTAAATCTAAATTTCAACCTCAGCTTCTTTCTGTAACCCGTGAGTTACAAGGTTATCTTCTTGCAAAAAAAAAAAGCAATCTCAGGATGCTGAGTTTTGGGGGTTACTTGACTGCTCTCTACTTTGGAAAAATGGAAGGCATGCTGAAGCTGAAAAGGCAGACAATTTCTATGTGTAGCAGCACTAGCCAAGTGGTTGATGAACATCTGTTTTTTTTTTTCTAGTTTGTGGTGAAGGCTTCCTCCCAAAGCTAAGAAAGTCCTCATAGGAGCAAAATCTATTTCAGAGAGGTCCTAACTGAGAGCGGACTCATGGTTCTCCATGCATACAACACAGAGTTTGTTTACCACGAGGTGAAGAAGTCAGGGATTTGTTTCTTGGGTTTTAGTAGCCAATCCAGAGAGAAGGACCAGCAACATGGCTAAAATCATACACACCTTCAGCAATGTCGGGGTATTAATGAGACAAGTTCAAGATCATTTTTGAATTCGGGTAAGTTTTATGAGTTCTGTTTATTTCTTTTCTCACATAGAGGGTAACCAGCCAGAATCCTGTTCTGACAATTGTAGAGATTCATGCAAAATGTAGAACATGAACGCATTTAAGCGATTTGTAGAAAATTTGATTAAGGGTGGTAATACACTATAGCACTGGAAACAACAGATATAGTGGATAGTTTTAAATTGAATCAGTTAACCTGATTTTTGCATTTAATTGCATCATGATCTAATTGCATCACAAAATATATAATATATTTTGTTTGACATTGATGGAAAAGGCTGTTTTAGATTTTGATTTGGTACCATTATGAAAATAGCATCTTTGTAGCTCTCTGTCCCCAAGTCCCACAACCTCAACAATTACTTACAAAATTCATTGATCATATGTTGTCAGAATACATGGAAAGTTAGATTTAAAAACTATACATCCTTCAGTAAATTTATGAGGATATACTTCTTCAACTTTTGAAACTGGAAAATATAGCAATTTTCAAAAAAATAAACTATACTCACATGAGCATCACTTTCAGTATATAAAGTGGTATCAATATGTATAGACTGAAAGGAAACAAAATTAGATAATATGAAAAACTATGCCCTGCTTTAGATATAGTGAGAACAACCTACTGAAAACATTAAATTAAGCTTTTTAAATTTTTTTATTTTGAGATAATTTCAGATTCATATGCAATTGTAAGAACAAATAGAGATCCTGTGCCTCCTTCGCCATTCTCCCAGCGATAATATCGTGCATAACCACAGTACAATATGACAACCAGGAAACTGACATTGATACAATCCACTCACCTGGTTCAGATTTCACCAGTTCGATGTGCACTAATGGATGTGTGCAGTTCTCAATTTTACCAGATGTGTAAATTCATGTAACCACCTCCACAGTTACATAGTTACATCATTAAAATCCTCCTCCCACTATTCTATAGCCCAAACCACCTTTCTTAACGTACATTTCACCCCCCACCTTTCTAATCCCTGGCAACCACTTCTCTCCTCTCCATTCCTGTATCATTTCAAGAATGTTATATAAGTGGACTCATATGGTATATAATCGTTTGAGATTGGTCTTTTGAATACACTATGTTTTGAGCAGTTGTATGTTTATAGAACATGAGCAGAAAGTACAGAAAGTTCCCATATATCCCCTCCCTGCCCCGCCCCAGTTTCTCCTATTATTATTATCTTGCATTAGCCTGGTACATGTATTACAATTGATGAGTCAGTATTGATACATTTGTAACAAAGTCCATAGTTTGCATTGGGGTTCAGTCTTGGTGTTGTACATTCTGAGTTTTAACAAGTATATAGTGACATGTACCCACCATTTTAGTATCACACAAAATAGTTTCTTTATCATAAAGACTACCTGTGCTCCATCTGTTCAGCTTTCCCTTTCCCCTGACCCCTGGAAATTTCTCACTGATGTTTTTGCTGTATCCATATTTTTACCTTTTCCAGAATGTCATGTAGTGGGCACCACAGTACGTAGCCTTTTTAGATTGGCTTCTTTCACTTAGTGGATATGCTTTTTTTTTTTTTAATAATTTTTTATTGTTATGTTAACCACCATACATTACATCATTAGTTTTTGATGCAGTGTTCCATGATTCATTGTTTGTGCATAACACCCAGTGCTCCACACAGAATGTGCCCTCTTTAATACCCATCACCAGGCTAACCCATCCCCCCACCCCCCTCCCCTCTAGAACCCTCAGTTTGTTTTTCAGAGTCCATCGTCTCTAATGGTTCGTCTCCCCCTCCGACTTACTCCCCTTCATTCTTCCCCTCCTGCTATCTTCTTCTTCTTCTTCTTTTTTTTTCTTAACATACATTGCATTATTTGTTTCAGAAGTACAGATCTGTGATTCATCAGTCTTGTACAATTCACAGTGCTCACCATAGCACATACCCTCCCCGATGTCTATCACCCAGCCACCCAATCCCTCCCACCCCCCACCACTCCAGCAACCCTCAGTTTGTTTCCTGAGATTAAGAATTCCTCATATCAGTGAGGTCATATGATACATGTCTTTCTCTGACTGACTTATTTCACTCAGCATAACACCCTCCAGTTCCATCCATGTCGTTGCAAATGGCAAGATCTCATTCCTTTTGATGGCTGCATAATATTCCATTGTGTATATACACCACATCTTCTTTATCCATTCATCTGTCGATGGACATCTTGGCTCTTTCCACAGTTTGGCTATTGTGGACATTGCTGCTATAAACATTGGGGTGCACGTACCCCTTCGGATCCCTACATTTGTATCTTTGGGGTAAATACCCAGTAGTGCAATTGCTGGATCGTATGGTAGCTCTATTTTCAACTGTTTGAGGAACCTCCATACTGTTTTCCAGAGGGGTTGCACCAGCTTGCATTCCCACCAACAGTGTAGGAGGGTTCCCCTTTCTCCGCATCCCCGCCAACATCTGTCGTTTCCTGACTTGTTCATTTTAGCCATTCTGACTGGTGTGAGGTGGAGTGGATATGCTTTTAAGGTTTCTCCATGTCTTTTCATGTCTAGAAGCTCTATTTTTTTTTATTGCTGGATAATATTCTATTGTATGGATGTACCATGGTTAGCCTATTCAGATTGGTTTTTTTTTTTCACCCAGTGTAAGAATACTCTGGAGATCCATCCAACCTGTTGTGAGTATCAGTAATTCTTTCTTTATATTTGCTCAGTATTGTTCCATGATATAATGTACCACAGTTTATTCATCCACTGAAGGGAATTTGGGTTGTTTTCAGTTCTTAGCTATTGCAAATGAAGGTCTATGAAAATTCATGTGCCTGTTCTTGTATGGACCTGAGTTTTCATTTCTCTGATATAAATGTTCAGGAGTGCAACTGTTGGATCATATGGCGAATGCATGTTTTATTTTATAAAAAACAGCCAAACTATTTTAGAGTAGCTGTAAAATCTTATATTCTCATCAAAAATATGTGTGATCTAGTTTCTCTGCATCCTTGCCAGCATTCAGCATTATTACTATTTTTTTTAATTTAAATATTCTTATAAGTGCATGGTGATGTCACTGTGGTTTTAATTCACATTCTCTAAATAATGTACAGCCATTTATTGGCACTTTCTCCCAGAAAATGACTTGAGGTGATTCATAATTTCTTCCTTTCTAATCTGCATACTTTCATTCTTCTTCTTGCCTTGCAAGAAGAATTGCAAATTCCAATACTGTGTTGAATAAGAGTGGTGAGAGATGACATATTTGTCTTGTTTCTAATCTTAGGGGAAAACATTCAGTCTTTCCTCATTAAGTATGATGTTAGCTCTAGGTTTTTTGTACATGCTCTGTATCAAGTTGAGAAAGTTACCTCTCTTTCCTTGTTTGTGGAGAAATTTTGCTAGGAATAGGTATATTCTTAAAATGCTGTTTCTCCATCGACTGATCCAGTCATATGATAATCTACTTTAGCCTGTTAATAAGGTGGGTTACAGACACGGTTTCCCAATAGTAAGCAGGTCTTGCATACCTGGAATAAATCCCATTGGTCATGATATACAATTCTTTTAATACACTGGTGGATTTTATTTGCTAATATTTTATTGAGAATTTCTGCATCTAAGTTTATTAGAGGTATCTGTTGCTTTCTCTTTTGGTATCATCTTTGCCTGGTTTTAGCATCAGGGTAATACTTGCCTAAGTGAGTTAGAAAGTTTTCCTTCTTCTATTTTTGGAAGAGATTGTAAAATCAGTGTTAATTTTTAAGTGTTTGGTAGAATGCTCCAGTGAAACCAGGTGGGCCTGGGGATTCTTTCGGGGGAGCTTATTTATGGTGAATTCAGTGTCTTTAATGGTTATAGTAGTTTGGGATTGTTTATTTCATCTTTGTTACATTTTGGTAGTTTGTGGTTTTTGAGAAATTGGTCCATTTCCTCCAAGTTGTCAAATTTAGAGAATAAAGTTGTTTACAGTTTTTATTATCCTTTTAATGTCTGCAGATTCTGTAGCAATAGTCTCTCACTTCAGTCCTGATGTTAATGGTTTATGTCATCTCTTTCTTAATCTTTATCTTCAGTTTTTCTGAAGGTTTATCAATTTTGTTGATTTTTCCCCTAAATAATGTGTTATGTTTCATTAAGTTTCTCTATTATTTTTCTGATTTCAATTTCATTAATTTGTGCTCTTATCTTTACTTTCTCCTTCCTTCTGCTTGTGTTAGGTTTATTTTGCTCTTCTCTTTCCAGTTTTTTGAGGTGGGAACTTAGATTGTTGATCTGAGATCTTTCCTCTTTGCTAATATAATAACTTAGTTTTATAAATCTCCCTCTCAGTAATGCTTTGCCTGAATCCCACAAATCTTGATGTGTTGTACTTTCATTTTCAGTCAGGTCTATGTACTTTTTTATATCCTTTGAGATTTAACCTTTAACTCACGGAAAATTGAGAAGTATATTATTTAGTTTCCAAGTGTTTGAAGGCTTTCCAGCTGTATTTATATAATTGACTTCTACATGATTCCACTGTGCTCAAAGAACACACGCTGCATGATTTCAATTCTGATAAATTTGTTAGTTTTATGGCCCATGATATGGTTAGTCTTGGTGAATGGTGCCTGAAAAAAATATTAATTCTTTGTCAGTGAGTGAAATGTTTCATCTATGTAAATTAGATATTGTTGGCTGACTGTGATGTCCAGTTCTTCTATATCCTTTCTGATTTCCTCTCGTCATTGAGTTTGTTCCTTAGGAGGTGATGAAGTCCTCAACTATAATTGTGAATTTGCCTCTTTTTCCTTTCAGTTTGATTAGTTTTTGCATCTTGTATTTTGAGGCTCTGCTGTTTGGCGTGTACACATTTAAGATCATGTTTTCCTGGTGGATTAATCTCTCACCATTTTGTAATGTATCTCTTGATTCTAGTAATTTTACTTGCTGTAAAGTCTACTTTATCTGATACTAAGAGAGCTACTTCTGATTTTTAAAATTATTGTATGTGTATCAGCCTCCTAGAGCTACAGTAACAAAATATCCAAACGAGGGCTTAAAACAATAACAACGTATTCTCTTACAACTCAGGAAGCTAGAGGTCCAAAATCAAGATGTCAGTAGGGCCATGATCCCTCTGAAGGCTCTAGGACAATCCTTCTTTACCTCTCCCAACTCTCTAGTGACTCGGGCAATCCTGGGTCTTCTGTGGCTTCTAGCTGCATTATTTTAGTTTCCTTTGCCTTGTAGCTGCCTCCAATTTCACATGGCCTTCTTCCCTGTCACTCTCTCTGTGGTCTGTCCTCTTCTTAGAAGGACAGCTAGTCGTGGAGTTAGGGTCCAACCCACCCCAGTAGGACCTCACCTTAACTAACTGTATTTGCAAAGACCCTATTTCCAAAGAAGGCCACATTTGGAGGTTCTGAGTAGACATGAATTTTTTGGGGGGGCACTATTCAACAACCCATTACAATATGGTATATTCTTTTCTCTTTTCAATTTCAACCTATTTATATCATTATGCTTGAAGTGAATTCCTTGTAGACAGCAAAATATTGGTTTGTGTTTTGTTATCAATTTGGCCAATCTCTGTCTTTTACTTGTATTCTCTTTCCCCTCTCCTTCTGGGATGCTAATGCTAAGAATGCTGGATCTTGGGTGCCTGGGTGGCTCAGTCAGTCAAACGTCAGACTCTTGATTTCAGCTCGGGTCCTGATCTCAAGGTCATGAGATCAAGCCCCGCGACGGGCTCCATCCTCAACACAGAGTCTGCTTGTCCCTCTACTTCTGCTCCTCCTACCGCTCGCCCTCCCTCTCTCTTTCTAATAAATTAAAAAAAAAAAAAAAAAAGAATGCTGGATCTTTTATTATACCAAAGATCCCTGAGGCTTTTTTTTTCAGCGTGTTTTCTATTATCCTATCTTCAAGTTCACCGTCTTTCCTCTGTCATATTCATTCTGTTCATGAATCTCTCCAGTTTGTTTTATATTTCAGTTATTGTATTTTTCAGTTCTGTCATTTCCACTTGGTTCCTTTTACATATTGTATTTCTTTGCTGAGACTTTGTTTTATCCAGTTGTTTCAAGGGTATCTGTAATTGCTTGTTGGCACGTTTGTATGACGGCTGCTTTAAAATCCTTGTCAAATAATTCCAACATCCAATCCATCTCTGTTTCAAAGTCTATTTCAGAGTTGTTTCTCAGTCAAGTTGTGATGTTCTTGCTTCTTGGCATAATAAGTGAGTTTCAGCTGTATTCTGGTATTTTAACTTTATGTTACGAGACCAGGGTTCCATTTAAATATTCTATACCAGCGCACAGCCACCCTATTTAGGTTTAGGTTCAGACTTCCATTTGTAAGCTGCAGTTCTAATGACAGTGTAGCTTTCAGAATCTTTGTGGTGCTAATTTGAAATGCTTGGTTCACCTGGGGCCCCTGGGACTCCCACTGGTCCCTGCTGTGTCACCCCCTGTGGTGGAAGGCAATTCCCTGGCGCTCCTGCTGTCTTTCTCCTTGCAGGTTCTGCCAGGCCGGCTGGTGTCTCCAGGTGAGAGAGGGGGTTCCTTAGCCACAGGACAGAGAGCTCCTCTTTGGGTTGGGCCATGCTCCCTACAAGAGCGGCCAAGCTGCCCAGTTTCTTTGCTGGAGACGGGAGTCTCTGGACTGTGGTGACAGAGAGCTCTTCATACCAGGCCACTTATAAATTGAGTTTTAAAGATAATTAGGATCTGAAAATTCTAAGTAAAAGATTTCATTTAAAACTTCACCAGGCTCATGAATTTCTACAAAAATATTGTTTCAAGTGAGATTTCATTAAGACTGACAACAGAACATTAGGGAGAGGCATATTCCATAGCAATCATACCAGATAGTTTATAGAAAAATGAGTACTCACTTGAATAATATTGTCAATTTTTTCCAAATCACTTATTACAAACTGCCAGGTTGCCTCTGTTTTAGGAAGACCTGCACTGATACAACTGAAAGCAAAACCAAAGAGCAAAACATTTTGAATGAGCATAATAATACTGGCTTGATGAGTATTACAGGCAAAAGAGCAATCAAGATCTTTTTTATTTTGATCCGTGAAAATTTTGATCTTTTTTATTTTGATCCGTGAAAAAATAAGTGTTATCCTTGCCTCTGTGCATTCAACAGACGAATATAAACAGCAAACATACAGTACAACCCCTTGACACTTGAGGCTAACTTAAGGACTGACCTACCGGGATTAGAGAAAAACCTAATTTGGAAGGATAACTTATAAATAACCTGGTGTAATTTATCACAATGGAATAAACACAGCACCTGATGTGTGGTAGTGCTCAGTAAATGTTTTTGAATGAATTCTGAGTTTTCTTTAAGTAGAGGTTCCATCCGACTTCTAAGTCCAATAAACAGGTAAAATTCTTAAAATAAGCAATAATCGTTTTCATGTACAGATTTTGATAGTACATATTCTTTACCATGGATTAAACATGCCCCTTTGCACACTGCTCGCACTGTGACTAGGTCTGCAGTAGCTTTCTTCAGAAATATTACCAACTTGAGACCAATCTAGTCTGAACGATCATACGCTTACTCATTTTGGTAAAACTGATATTTAACATCAGGACAAAAGACTCATACACTGACCAAGTGACTGTGGAATGATTCTTCAAGCTTGAGGAAAAACAGTTGCTCCCTGATGGATATTGTACAGAAGCAAGAGATCCAACACTAACCTTCCCTGTGAGGAAGATGCACCTGCACACATCTCTGGTTCCCCACACCATGAAGGCATTAGTAAGGAAAACTGAGCTGAGGGTCATATTACATAACTACAGGCTGGGTGCTTTGGGCCAACTGTGTGCAGTGAATTAGCTACATCTAAGAGAGAAGAAAAAAAATTAATAAGCATGGAAATATATGAATGTCTATTAGGAGGAAAAACGAAAGGCCTAAGTAAAGAAAGAAACATTTCAAACTGAAGTAGGGTAGGGCTCAGAGAACGGGCGATGTCAGTGTCAGGGATAGATAAAAAAGTAACATGGACAAGCCCTAAATATCTGTATTTTACTGCTGTGAAAATCATGTAAGCTATTAATAAGGAATGGACTTCCACGTTTAGTTAAATACCAAGAGGTCTAATTTATTGGAAGGATGTAACACTCATTTGGAATATTACCCAAATGTAGAAATGCTCATATGGGTGTTTACCAAACCCCCTCAGAATCTCCGTAATCTGCCCTCTATCTTACCCCAAATACTTAGTTCCTAAGGATTTAAGCAAACTGAACATAAAGCAGTTTAAAAGAAAAGATACTGAAGAACAATGATCAAGGCCATTAACATGATGATATTTATGCTGAAAGATAAACTTACCCCAAAATGAAGACATGAATGCCAGCCTCAGTTAGAAAATGACTGTTCAAAAGTAAACACAAGTAGCACTGGATGGAAGTACTTCTCAAATGTGGTTTCTAAAAAATATCATCACAGGCAAAGTGGTTAAAACTTTTTTTAGTTAAAAAATGATACTTAAAATAATATTTTATCATATTTTTAGATTCCAAAAGTTAAGTTTATCACAATTTCAGAATTAATGCTCTTTATTAGATTTAATGAAGCTAGAATTTATCCTTCTTGCTTTGTCCACACCTCTAGCTCTGTCTCCTATGAGCAAAATTCTTTACTATATATTTCCCCGGGTGCATTTCAGTGACAATAATTTTAAGAAAGTTCATATATTTACTAATTTACATATATACTAATATCATCACTTACTTTGTTTCTATTATCTTTATCCTCCCTCTCAACTTTTTTTTTCCTTTTTAATAGTTCAGCATATATTTGTTGGATTGCTCTTAATTCTCCATGGCATGTTCATTTTTTTATTTGGGTGTGGTTGACAATAATAGTTCAACATATTTTATACAGCACAGATTAATAACATGAGTTACTAATACAGGTGTACCAGTTATGTATTAATTTCACGTGAATTAATTTCAAAGAAAATTAATTATATATTGGTATCATTTGAAGGAAAAGAATGGATAAAAATAGCCCCAACTAAAGACACTCTATGCCATCTTAACAAGCAATATATAATAATTTCTCTTGGTGATTTAGGAACACACTTATCTTAGAATTTCTCAGTTTTGATACTTTTGCCTGCCTCTCTCACACTGTCAAAACCTTTACAGTTTCGGAAAGTACCCTAAACACTAAGAATCGGTGCTTCATTTAGTCTACACTAAAGAGATGAACAATATCCAGACACTGTCATCAAAGACTAGACCATTCATTGATTAGATGAAAAATTCAAAGAACAAAATAAGGTAAGTGAAATAATACATTTACAATGACATGAAGAGCACCTGATGTGAGTAGAGTTAAAAGACCTATTTCTATTTACTTTCAAATAAGAATAATCCATATGTGACCAGAGATCTGTGGCATCTCAGGGTCTTTGGAGAAGAGTCAGAGAACTTACTATGAAGTATCTGAGATTCAAGTGACCTTTTATGAAAAGTCCATGTACTATCTTTCTCTAATTTTTCTTACCGAAATTCTCATTACTCAATGCCAGGGTAAATCCTTAAGTACTGAAGAAGAGCTGGCTATGGCAATGGGTTTCCAGCAGCCATCCATCCAGAATACTTCCTACAATACAATCCAGGGTAAGGCAATGATCCATTAAAAACACAAGTGGACAAGAAGAAAGGGAGGAAAGTAATATTCATTGAGCACTTACTTTTTCATGGGCTCTCTATTAGTCACTTAATATATCTATCACATTACATCCTCACAACAATCATATGGGGTAGGGTTAGCAGCATTTGGGTAAGCTGCCCAGGCCCCACAGCAGGTCCAAGACAGCCAGGATTTGAGACCAGGTCTGTCTGATGACTAAGCCCAAATTGGCAAATTCCAAAATTCTGTGTTGGTAAACAGCAGAAGCAACCAAATACCTGGCTTCATATAAACTACTGACAGTTGTTCATTTCATTTACAACAGAAGTAGCTACTTCTACAGACATGAACAGCTGTGTTTTGAAATAAATCACTGTTAATTAAAACAGTATTTGAGAATTTCATAAGTAACAAATTCTATTTTTTTCTAATTCAAGGCAATGAAGAATGTGAAGATCACACACTCCCAATTTCAACTCCATTTTATTAAAGCAAAAATTAAAACCAAGATACATAAAATGTAAAGTTATTTGTGCCATCCTTTTTAAAATAGTTACGTATTTACTGCCCTCCCCACAAAACTCAAAATCTGCTACGGTCTTGACATAAATATTCACTGCAATTAAGTTCTGTAAACTCAGTTATTTAAATTATTTTATTATCCAGATGATTGCTTTAGTATATATGACGTATAAATCTTTAAAAGAAAAAACTAGCATTTAAGCATTAAACAAGATACTATGAGAGTACATTCAACAGGAATGCCTTTTTTTCAACAATAACATATGAAATTGAATCCTCCTGTTACATACGATCTGACTCAGATGCACGCTTTTAATTCCAGCAGACCCTCTTCATTGCTCTCATCTTAGAATCACCCTTTTTGTCTATATTATCTCAGGGCTTCAAAGCCTCTTAGATTCCCTCCATCCTTTTGAGTTGTATCCCAAACTCCACATTGCTCAAATGAAAGTATTTACTGACCAGAGCCTGAGCAATACCAAGGGTGCTGGAGGTGTTAAATAAGGCCCTTATGAAGCTACCTGAGTAAGCAGCGAGGATTTCACAGCAAGTCTCCACATATGCAGGGTGTTCGGTTCTCACCCGGGGTGCAGTAGACGTCCACCGCCCTGCCCAACCACCCCTGGCAGGCACCCGTCAAGGAAAACAAAGCCTCTACCCCGAATGCGCCTGCCAAGCATGGTGGAACGCAGCAGGAACCCGCCTCCAAAGCTGCAAGCAAAATAATGATCGTGGAGGCCAGTGTAGCCGCAAAGGGAACTTTTACAGCTTTGCCACCAACAAAAAAACTGATGCGGTCTCCTGGGTTATCAGTGAAGAATCCAGTTTTGTTTTGTTTTTTAAAGATTTTATTTATTTATTTGACAGAGAGAGAGAGACAGCGAGAGAGGGAACACAAGCAGGGGGAGGGGCAGGGGGAAAAGCAGGCTCCCCGCTGAGCAGGGAGCCCGATGCGGGGCTCGATCCCAGGACCCGGGGACCGTGACCTGAGCCGAAGGCAGACGCTTGACGACTGAGCCACCCAGGTGCCCAAGAATCCAGTTTTTATAACAGCTTTGGAAGCATTCAACCTGCCACTTCCTAGTTCCGTGGACCAGTAATTTTACCAGAAATATATGTGTGTGCGTGCGCGTGCACGTGTGTGGGTCAAAACTCAGCACGGGTCAAAGAAACCTGAGAAGGTAAAATATTCTCTTCTCTTTAGCCAGGGCTCAAAGTTAACAATTACTATAATTAATTAGTATTAATGATGGTAACATTATGGTAAGTATTGTTTACCTGGTGCTTTCAGGTTTACCAAAGTATTTCCTACACATGATCCCATTCAATCCTGACAATCTCTTCTGTGAAAGATATTACTTTTACTTTACGGCAAAGTAATTGAGGTTCTGAGAGGTTAAGTGACTTGCTTCAGGTAAATGTCATACGTGTGGCCATGAAAATTGACCTCACAACCCAAGGTGGGCAGAGGGAGGAGGGAAGCCAGAAACAGACGTGTAGCCCCTTCCTATAGGAAGTAACCGACCCACCCCGGGTGAATAAGAAAAATCCACTGCTCTACTGACACTTTATAAACAGGTCTTTCAAATTCCTCATGTGAAACAGAACTCAAGCTCTTTCACAACCATTATCTCATTTGATTTTCACAAAATACCTGTTAGAAGTGGCTGAAACCAGGTTAATTACTTTCTGAGAAGACAAATCTAGGGATGAAATAAATTACCCACTTCCTTTTATGTCATATTTTTGGAGAACCAGGAAAACAGTATTTAATCCTGGCATACTAATTGCGTGTGATCATGAAATGCGCTCACAACCAGCATTTTTGGTTTGTCCTTCAGCCATCTGGGGGCCTGGACCCAGGATCAAAAAAGGACTGAATCCCAGCCTTGTGCTCAAGTGGCTCACAAAGTTTAAGCAGGGATTTTTAAATTTTTTTTATTTTTTTGCCATCTTGTGATTGGGTGTCACTGCAGGATGGTTGTTGACCTTATGGCAACACCGCTGCGCTAGCAGGATGTCACCGCCCAGGGGTAAGTCATCGGGAAGAGCTGACAAATCAACACAGCTGGGCAGCTCCCAGAGCTGTAATTCTGGAGTGACTTGTGAAAATAATTGTACACATCTTACATTCCATACCAACATTGTAGTCCTTCCTGGCGAGGAAATATAATCTAACACACTGCTCTTTTGTCTTGTTTCATTCTGCCTAATTATTTACTCACCCAGTCACACGTTTCAAGTCAACTTTAAAAGGTTTAGCAGAGAAGAAGAGTTTTGGTAAACACATTCATCTGTTCACATAAAAAAAAAAACAAAAAATGAGGGCAGACCAACGCCGCATGCTTATGTGAGTATAAACAATGGAAAACAGTGGGGCGCCTGGGTGGCTCAGTTGGTTAAGCGTCTGCCTTCGGCTCAGGTCATGATCCCAGTTCAAGTCATGATCTCAGGGTCCTGGGATCGAGTCCCGCATTGGACTCCTTGCTCCACGAGGAGTCTGCTTCTCCCTCTCCCTCTGTTCCCTGCCCCCCGCTTGTGCTCTCTTTCTCTGTCTCAAATTTCAAAAATCTTCAAAAAAAAAAAAAAAGAATGGAAGACAGCATTGCTGCCCTGTACTCATGTAGCAAATATTTATTGAGTACTTATTATGTGCTAGGTATTTCTCTCTGACCTTGGTATACATCGATGAATGCAGAGGACAAACCACCTTGATTTTAGAGGGAAAGACAGATCACTTATAATATACGTAAACTAGTTCATTAGGGAGAGATAAGTGATGTAGGAAAAAGGAAACAGAATAGGGCATGAAGGACGTGGTTGCGATTTGAAGTAGGTTGTCAGGGTCGAGTTCAGTGAGAACAAAATCAGATCAAAGATGGACAGGCAGCAAGGGGATGCGCCCCAGGGATACCTGGGTAAAGAGCATCTGAAGCAGAGGGAAGAGCTAGAGCAAAGGCACCAAGGCAGCAAGCATGCCTATGAGTGTGAGGTTCGGAAAAGAGGCCGATGGAGCGAGCAAGAGAAAGTAGTCGGAGATGAGAGCAGGAAGGTAGACAGGGAGGCATGGGTCAGACTGGGCCCTTGAGGTCACTGCACACGTCTACAGCGTGAAATCACTGCAGCACTTTGTCACAGCAGACAGCTGATACCATCTGAAGGACCTTGTTAAGAATCTGTCTTGGCTCTCCAGAAAACAGTATGGAGGTTCCTCAAAAAGTTGAAAATAGAGCTACCATACGATCCAGCAATTGCACTACTGGGTATTTACCCCAAAGATACAAATGTAGGGATCCAAAGGGGTTATGTGCACCCCAATGTTTATAGCAGCAATGTCCACAATAGCCAAACTGTGGAAAGAGCCAAGATGTCCATCAACAGATGAATGGATAAAGAAGATGTGGTGTATATATATATACTAGGGAATATTATGCAGCCATCAAAAGGAATGAGATCTTGCCATTTGGATGAAATTGGAGGGCGTTATGCTGAGTGAAATAAGTCAATCAGAGAAAGACATGTATCGTATGACCTCACAGATATGAGGAATTCTTAATCTCAGGAAACAAACTGAGGGTTGCTGGAGTGGTGGGGGGTGGGAGGGATGGGGTGGCTGGGTGATAGACATTGGGGAGGGTATGTGCTATGGTGAGTGCTGTAAATTGTGCAAGTCTGTTGAATCACAGATCTGTACCTCTGAAACATATAATGCAATATATGTTAAGAAAAAAAAAAGAAGAAGAAGAAGATAGCAGGAGGGGAAGAATGAAGGGGAGTAAGTCGGAGGGGGAGACGAACCATTAGAGACGATGGACTCTGAAAAACAAACTGAGGGTTCTAGAGGGGAGGGGCTGGGGGGATGGGTTAGCCTGGTGACGGGTATTAAAGAGGGCGCGTTCTGCCTGGAGCACTGGGTGTTATGCACAAACAATGAATCATGGAACACTGCATCAAAAACTAATGATGTAATGTATGCTGATTAACATAACAATAAAAAAATTTAAAGAAAAAAAAGTCTGTCTTAGCTCCTGTGTTAAGGACAGGCTGGGCAGGGCGGGGCCAGGAGGGCAAGGCTGGAAGCAGGGGTGCAGGTGGCTGCCAGGCAGGTCATGGCAGTGGAGACTGGGACACGTGGTTGGAGTCTGAAAACACTGTTTTGACGGAACCAACAGGATTTCCTGACAGACCGGATGCGGACGGGACATCTGAGAAAAAAATACTCCCAAGTCTTTGGCCCTGAGCACATGAGAAATGGAGCGGCCACCAACTGAACCGAGATAGGCTGTGGGCGGAGCCGATACTTTGACGGGAGGGGTCAGGTAAGGAGTTTTTATTTTGGACGTGTGGAGTTTGAGACATCAAGTACATATCCACATGAAAATGTCAAATAGGCAGTCAGACGTAAGAATCTTGAGTTCAGGAAAGTGCTTTGAGCCTGAAATCCACAT